AGCACCAAACTAAAACATTAAAAAGACACCAACTTAAAAAGAAGAAAATCCGATTCAGAAAACTAAAAACAAATCCTAAACTAGATCCAAAAATAATCAGACGACAAAGAAGAAGAAGATGATGTTTTAACTTATAAATAAAAACTTGAAAGTACTATTCCTCGATTCATTGATAATATTTCATTTCTTGGGTAAGGATATAATATATATTTCGGAAATCCTAAATGCAGTAATGGGCTTGACCCTGGCTTTAGAAATTTTGGAGTTGCCGCTTTTGAATATAATCCTAATCCTTACTTTTCCCTTTCTAGAGATTACTCAATGTATGTGCCTAAGGGATTTATTGCTACCCACTAATAATCCTGTACTATATCTTTTAGTTCTAAAACTGTCACTTCAACAAAAGACTATACTGATAGTTTACACGTATCTGCTAGTGTCAGTGTTCGTGTAGGTGGTGCTTTTTCGGCTAGTGCTGATTATTAGTAGACTTAAAGTGGACTTTCTTCACGTGAAACTTTATATATTGAAAGTTCTGCGAGATGTACTGCTTACGAGATTGTAATGTAGTAGGATCCTATAAATTCTGCAAATGTAACTCCCTAATTTGCCGAAATATTAAGAGAATTGGAAGCTAAAGGGGATAATCCAGATGCTTATTATGATTTCTTCGATGAAATAGGCACTCACGTGACAGATGAGGTTGAATTAGGCTCTCTTTTTGGCTACAAATTTCAAATGAGTACCACTGAAACCCAAAAGATAGTCAAATAAAACGTTGATGTGGCTGCTGCAGCCTCCTATATGGCAACCAGGGCCCGAGCGAAAACCAGCTACGAGAAAAATTAAGAATAACAACTCAAAACAGCTGTTAGTTCATGGACTTCATTCTCTATAGGGGCTGTTCCTGATGAAGATAATGACGCTTTAAAGTGGGCTGCTAGGACAATATCGAATCCAATGCCTGTATATGTAAATTTAGTTACTATGAAAGAATATTTATCTATATATGGTTCTGCTTAAAAGATAGGAGTTTCAACTGTCTAATTTAATAATTTATTAAATAAACTAGACTCATATTTAGCATCTTATTGTTAAAAAAGATTACTTGTAAGAAATAATGTTAGTTCATGTGAAGATGTAGAAATAAAAGCCCCTATAGATGTAAATACGGTTAAAAGTAATAATTTTATAGAGACACTATTTAATAATAAAGAGAGTGTAGTTTTTATTTAAAAAAAATCCGGTAGATTCCTAGTTTCGGATACCAATAATCTCAAAAAAGGTGAATCTGCTAATGTTTATATAGGAAATTATAGAGGCTTAAGGAGAGAATAGTGGAATTTAGTCAGATTTGGGTTCACAGATAGCGTTTATTAGCTATAACATATCGAATCTAAGTTTTGTTTGTCATTAAGAAATTGCAATAATGATGAATAGATGCCTATATTAGCAAAATGTGATTAGGGTGATATCTGTTAAAGATTTAGATTACAAATATTCAATGCTAATACTTAGGAAGTTATTATTTAAAGTATGAAATCAGAAAAAGTACTTATTTCGGATGACGCGAAGGAAGGAAACGGGACCATTACTAAGATTAATGGAAATAGTGATACTACATCTAGAATTTGGAGACTACAAAAAACTTTGAATAGATTTGAAGAATGATTATTATAGAAATAAATTTATATAAATTAAATGTCTTTTTTATTTATTTATCGTATTTTTTTAGATATTTTATTTACATATAAATTAATTAATTTATATGTTTAAATATAATTTATATTTAAAAAAAATAAACAATTTATTTTATTTTGAATTTGTACAATGATAATATTGAAATTAATTAATACAAAAGAAAAATATTTAATTTAATTTTTTTATTATATATAAATTATTATCATTATTATTTTAAAATTATATAAAAAAAAATTTATATATTTACATTATTTAAAAATATAATATTTGCGACATTATTAAATCAATGATTAATAAAATTTATTTAATTCTAATTAAAATTTAAATCCATTTTAATAATACTATTTAAAAATAATAATATTTTTAAAAAAATATCTTATTTTATAAAACCAACAAAACTAATTAAAGAATAATAAAAAAATACAATTTATTAAAAACTATCAATATGACAATTTTATAAAATATTTATATAAAATAATTGAAGTAATTATTAAAAATAACTAAAATATTTATAATAAATATGATATATATATATATATATATATATATATTTATATTTATATATATATAATATTAATTATATTTATATTTCAATCTCTTAAATAATATTATCTAAATCTATCACCTAAAACACCTAATAAATTTAAAAATTCTTTTTGTTTTTCCTTTCTTTATTATATTTCGCTTGAAACAGCAATAATTTAATTTTCTTCAAAGCAAGTAAAAACTTACTAAATTTTAAAATATACAAAAGCCTATTATAAAATAATTTAAGGATTTTAAATTTTCAAAAAAACTGCCAAAACGCATTTATTAACACTCTTTCTTAGTTTTGTATTATTTTTCCCACTTTAAATTTGCTTAAAAAGCTTAAAAAGAACTTCTTAAGAAGCACTCAATAGCAAGACACCCAAATTATTATATTTAAAACCTTCAGAATATAAAAAATCAACAAATTCAAATATACACAGGGCAGTTTTTTCATTTTAAACATCAATCTCTTGTATTAAAATCTGCAAAATTTATTAAAGACAAGCACTTTAGACAAAAATTAGAGGACAAAACTTAAAAAACCTTCCTAAAAAAGCAAAAAAATCTTCAAGAACTTCAAAATGTGTTTCTTATGAAATTTATTGAATAGAAAAAGAGACAATTTTATTAAAAGTTTCGCTCAAAAAAGTTTAAAAAGATTCTTCATGTCCGAAAAACTTCAAAGATTTTTCAATAAAATATAAACAAGAAGAAACCAAAAATTCATTCTGAAAATTTTAAAAATAAATATTTTACAAAACACTCACTATCTCGCAATAAAAAACATCCAATAAAAAATTTAATTTTATTAAAAAAACCTTCAAAAGACTTACTAAATTTTCCAAAAAATCTTGTTCATCTTTATTTTATATTAAAATTATTATTATTTTTTTTATATTTTCCCATATTCCTATAAAAATATCTAAAAAAAGCTTTTTTTCATCATCCTCATTTATTTCAGGAAAATACTCAATTATATATTTTAACATTTTAAAATTTTCGTTTAAACTTTTTTTATTTAAACCTTCTTCGAAATATCCCAAATCCTACACATAAGGTGTACATAAATTAACCAAATGTTGAAAAATAAGCCTTTTTTCAGAACAAATAATACACGCAATACCTTTGATAATCTAAATATTATAGATATTATCTAAATAAATTTCTTAAATGATACTTTCTAGATTGTTTTTGGCAAATAATATACATTTCTTACACATTTATACGAAACTATTTTCAGCCAAATCTTTCAAAAGCTAAGCTCTAGTACTTTAAATTACTTAAGAAAATGCAAAAGTGCATATATCATTATTTTATGGGAAACAAATAGCCATTTATTTACAAAATAAAATAAAGGTTCTTTATAATTTAATATATTTGACTTATAACCCATTAATAAACTAAAATATTTCCAAAACTATATTTTCATGTATTTTCATTGCATTTTTTTCATTAAAAATAGAACTCAAACAAAAAAGATGTCCTTCCAAAAGACAAAAATCCTTATAATTTTTCTGCATTAAATTTAAAGAATTTTCCAAGCATTTTTCATCAAAAACAAAATAAGAAATATATTTTAAAAATTCCGAAACTAATTATCTTCTTTCTTTTTCTTCTTCGAAATTTTAAGAAATTCTTAATATTTTTTCAATAGAATGTTCCTCAAAAAGCAGAAAATTTCTATTTTCTAAAAAACACTTTTTTATACAAATTTCAACAATTTTTTATACTAAAATAGCCTTTTTTTCAATTTAAAAGCTTATTTATTCTTCATTATTATCATCTTAATTTTAAATTAACACTTATTTCCAAAACTCACATATATAAAAGGAATTATTCACAGTATTAAAATTAGATATATCTAAAAAACCAATTAAAAAACTTTCATATTTATCTTCCAAAACAATTTTTTATTATAATAATTCACCAAATTTCGCACATAATTTATATATTTAATCTAAAATATCCCACTCTTGTTCCTGATACAATTTTTTTGAACACATAAGAGAATCAAATATACCTTTTTTGATATTTTAAAAAACACTATTTTGTTCCAAATTTTCTATTTAGGCATTTTTTAACTATCGAATTGTCTTTATTAACACCTAAATGGCATTTTATTACAATTGAAAGTTATTTATATTTTATACAGCTATATTAAAGACAGAATTAGAGCTTAAATTACATAAAATAAGACTATTTGTTTTAAAATAAAGCCAATTTTAAAGAATTTTTAATAAATTATTTATTATTTCAATACTTAATATACTTTAATTAGATCCAATATTACTTATTTCTTCTATAATTTAGATTTATAAAGTATTTTTAAAATAATTAATCTAAATAAAAATTATAAATAAAATAAATAGATATTAATAATAAAATAAAAAATATAAAAATAAAATAAATATAATGTAAAAAAAAAAAATAGTAATATTTATATATTTATAAATATTTAATAAATATTACTGTTTCTAATTTTAATTCTTTAGCTTAAATAAATTATTCATCAAAAATAATATCAGGAATAAATTCAAAAATAAAGAAAACATAATTCTACATATCAATATCTGGATAGAAATTATCTCTAAATAAAGTTATTAAATCTGGCCAATTTTAATATTAAAACAAAAAGCAAAAAACAAAACCTTCTGCTAATTAACTTTAGACTTATTTTAAACTTTTTTATGTTCTATTAATATTTATAATAAAATTTAAGGTATTTAATCTGTTTATTATTCATTTAATTGTCTATAATGATATTTGAACTTAGATTTTAACATTTTAGATGATAATAAATATTCATTTTATGTTAAGTTTTAAGTTAAGAGAATTTATTATAATATTTGCCAACTTTAAGATGTTTTTTCGAATTCTTTTAAGAATTTATCAGATTCTTTTATTTTCTGTGTATCTTATGAATTTGTTATTATTTTTATATTCTCAAGAATTTCTTGCATTAATAATTTGTTTATTTTTTGTAATTTTTTTTATTTATTTTTTAAAAAAATATTTTTAGTGTTAATTTTTTCAAATATTAATTAAATAAATGAATATATCCTTTATTTAATTTAATTAAAAAAAATATAAATTTTAAATTTTTTTTTTAATAAAAAAAATTTATAATTTTAATATGAATATGATTTTTATAATAATAAAAATAAATTTTAAAATTTATTTTACCATATATAATTTTTTTTTTAAAAAAATATTTGTATTATATATATTTAAATCTTCAATATATTAAATGTGTTTATTTATCTTCATCATCATCTTCAAATTCAATATCACACATATTTAATTCTTACATATCGTCATCATCAACTTTATTTAAAAAACCAATGATATATAGAAAATAAAAAAATACTTTCACATTCAAATCCAGCTAATTTTTTACCATCATTCTAATCGTCAAAAATAAGTTCGAACTTATTCGATTCATACGCATTTAAAGGAATCAAATAATTTTTACTTTTCGGAATATTTAAAGGTGGAAATAATGGATCAACTGCAATTTTAAATGTATTATCTAACAAATTAGTAATAATCCTAGATAATAAAAGACAATTAGTCTATAAACAAGGGTTTGAGTTAGCCTCTATTAACCAAGTTTTGAAATTACTATCAATCATAAAATCTAAACCAAAAAGCTTTTTTTAACGAAATAAAATTTAATAAAACAAATAAATTTCTAATTTACACAACTTCAAAACTAAATTAACTTTTATTTGGCTAGATTTTTTTATAAACAGATTTTACAATGTCACAAGCTATTTTCTTTTTCTTTTTTATTTTTATTTTTTATAAAAATATTACTTTCATTTCTTATTGAGTTTTTTTGATAAAATTAAATTATTTATTTTATCCTAAAAAGTCCAAATATCTTTGAAATTCATTAAAAGAAAGTTTATTTCCTATTTCGAATTTTCCAAATTCTTCACTTTTTTTTTAAATTGCATCATTAGTTAAATGAACAAATTTATTTTCTAAATTTTTTAAATTAAATTCTTTTGAACTTGTTCTTAAATATCCTTCTTAATACCAATAACCTATAAATGCATATTTTTTTTTAAAAAAAATATATATATAAAACCTTTTATCAATCCATTATAAGTAGTTATTAATAAATAACATCTAATATCAAATTTTCTTTTATTAAATAGAAATGGTTTTTCAATATATTTTTATATTAAGTAAGTTTTTTTTCTTCCATTTTCATGATATTTATTTTAATATATTATTTCTTATATATCTGATAATTTCTGTAAAACTAAAACATATAATTTTTTTATAAAATAATGATTAATATAGTATATATATATATATAACCTTGAATTCCATTTCCTCTATTAGTTTACTCACCAGGTTTTATAATCCAAATATTTTATTATTTTTTATCATCTTAAATTTCATTATAATATTAAATAAACTTAATCCATTCTAAATCATCTATTCCATTTTTTATATGAAATGTTAAAGGAATATAATTAAATATATTTTCATTTGAAAATTCGTAATATTTTTTTAAATTGTAGAATAATTACTTAAACCGAAAAAAAAATAAAAAAAATTGATTGTGGTTTTTTAATTTTTTTACTTTTTTATTACAAATAGAAAAATTATTCTCTACATGATTATGTATTTTGTAATTATATTAATCATTAAGTAAAACTAGATTTTATTTTAACTATTCTTATATTTATTTATTAAACAAAGGTGGCTAAAAGAATTCCTATAAAAAAATTAAACTAATTTTTTTTTTAATTTGAAATAAAAAATACTTTGTTATTTTAAAAATATTCTTCCAAATAATAATAATCGTCTTAATTAATAATTTTTAATATTTACTTTTATTAAGAAAATTCACTTCTTTAACTATTAACTTTAATTTAATTAGCAAAACCTTAATTTTTTTTTTTTTATTCTAACTATTTCATATATTATGTATATTCAGGCCTTCTCTATGACATCCATAAAAACTAGCAACTTTCCCATTCATCTTTATTTTCACTAATAGTCCACCACCATCTATTTATATATAAAAGAAAATTTTATTTGGAAAAATAAGTATTAAATACCTACTTTTGAACACTTATCTTACTAAATTTCCATTATTTCCTTATCCAATATAAAATTTATATTATTATATATTATTTTATTTAATTGGTTAATCTATATGTACAAAAATTTTATTTGAAAAGTTGATTAAATATAAGAAATCTTTATAAACTGTTAATTTATCTTTATATTATTTTAAAAGTAAATCTTTACCAGAATTCTTATAACTCTAAGAGCCAATTGCTTTTAAATTTAAAATAATATTTTGTGATTAACTAGAACTTAATTTTAAACATTATTTTGATTTTTATATTTATTTTGCACTATTTTAATAATTTGTAGGCGTTCTTTGAGCACTTTTTGAAATTAATTTTCTATTTAAGTTCTCTTATTATTAATTAATTATATTTTTATTGATTTATTATTCTATTTGTAAGTTATTTTTAAATTTTTTTTCGCAGAAATTTTTACTGCATTAAATATATAAAAAGTTATTATTAAATTATTCTTATTTTTAATTTTAATTTTATTTTTATAAAAATATAATAAATACCTTATTTATTATAATTTTAAAAATTTTATTTAACAAAATTAATTTACTCAAAATTTTCTTAACATGGACTTTTATTTTTTTAAAAACTAATATATTATAAATTTTAAAATTTTTTTTACAATTATTATTGTTCTTTATTAATACCTTGAGATAATTATTTATTTTAACAATTAATATTTTTTCGATTAAAACTTAAATAAAAATTAACTAACTTTTTGGATTTTGAAATATTTTAAATATCTTCAAAATGATACATATCAGATTAATATTTTTTATTTTATTATGAATTCGAATTATATTCTTTTAAATGTTTTATTTCTATTTAGTATTTTTTTATATTTTTACATGTTTTATTATGGTCTTTAAGTAAAATTACATTAAAATTCTCTTTTTTTAAAAAAATAAAAAATAAAAACATTTGATAAAATACGTATTTATTTTGAAATAATCCTATTTTTTGTATTATTATTTTATAAATTCATTTAATTGTCATTTTATAAATATTATTTATCAATTTATCTTTATGTGTATATTTGATTATCTTCAAAATCTAAACCATATTCTATAAATATATATTTAATTTTTTTAATAAAAATATATATTTACATTATAACTATACTTAAGATAATTTTTATTATTTAATATAATTATTTTATTGATTTTTTCGTAATATTTTTTAAACTAAATCTATCTTTTAATTTTTTATTTTCTCATCATAAAATATATCATTATTCGTAAAAAATAATTTAGGACTTGTTAACATACCTTTATTTTTAATTTTAATAATATAATTTAATATTTTCTATTTTAAAAAATATTTATTATTCTTTCAATTTATATTAAAAATAAATAAATTTATATTTCAAAAAATAACAATTTAATTAATTTTTTATTTAAAAAAATTATACATTTTTTAATTTATTTTATAAAAATCAAATTAATGTGTAGTATATATTTTTTTAATAAATAAAAATTTATTTCCATCTTTAAAAAGATAAAATATTTTAATATAAAAAAGTTAAAGAAATATTTTTAATTTATAAATATAAAATAAAAAATATAAAATAATTTAATTTTTAAATTTAATGGACTCAAATAAATTCATTTTTATTAAAAAATGTTTTTTTATATAAAATAAATTTTCTTTTAAAAAGATAAAAATAATATTTTTTTTTTTAAACATTTTCATAAATTTTTTACAGAAATTAATTAAAACCATTCTTTATTAAAAAATATTAATTATATTTTTATTTTTTATACTTTGTTTATTTATTCAAAAAAAATTATATTTTATTATTTTCTAAAAAAATTCAATTAAAAAAAAGTAAAACTATAAAAATGAGTGAATAAAAGGTCATAAATAGTAAAAACAACTAATAATAATTAATTTAATCACCTTTTTAATAAGATGGAAGCAATCGCAATCTTTAATATTAAAGCGAAAAAGTTTAAAGCTCCGACGAAAAAAAAATCAGTCCTAGAAAATCTACAAAACATGTAAAATGTTCACCCATGAAAGCAAGAAACTCTAAATTTATCAACTCTAATAATTTGGTTAAACGGTAACCTCCGAAAGATATATTAAAGAAAATTTTAATCAGTAGAATATTCGATAATATAATAATTTTCCTAGTTATTATTTTCACAATAATTATATTTGTTTACTTTGCAATCGATACAAGAGATAACAAAGACAATTAATAAATATAATATGTTATATAAATATTCCAAAATATCGAAATGGCACTTTTAATTTTATTTTGCCTAGAAATTTTTCTTAAAATCTATGCTTTTTCATATAAAGTTATTTTAATAAAAATTAATATGTTTATATTTTTATTTAGGTTTATTTTAAAGATAAATGGTTATTTTTTGATACAATCATTATGATTTTATCTATTTTAATTCTTGTTTTAGATATTGTTTTAAATAATACCTAATTTACAACTATATCAAAAATAATTAGAGGAATATTCAGATTTATGAGGCTTTTTTTAGTATTTAGAAAAGTAAAATTTATACATTTTTTTTTTGATAAAAAATAAATAAAAAAGGTTAATTAATTTAAAGCAATATAAATTACATCTTCAAATTTAAACTTTAAAAGTTCAATAGAAAGAATAATAGAAATAATGAAAAATATCAAAAATAATGTAGATGACATTATATTAATAAAATAAATAGATTGGTAAAAAAATAAAATACATCTCTATATATAAAAAAATTCAAATATAAATATAAAATAATATCAGGTGCATATAAATGATATAAAGCAATAAAATATACGATCCTATATTTACAGATAGTGAGGCTGCAAAATGGGTCAATATATATGAAAACACAGCTTAAATTTCCAAAAAAAAGAAAGTTTAAGCATTAGATAAACGGAATAAAAGCAATAGTCAATAATTATAAATCTTATAATCCTAAGCGTCCTTTTTATAAGTAAAATATAAAGATATTAATATTCCAACAGAATATCTAAATTTCTTTGAAAAAATCGATTTGATAGACTTTGAAGTTTTCTAATTTCATGAATAAATTAAAACCAATAACCTATCTTATCTATTAATTTTTCTATTTTAAAAATATGACATTAATAATACCGCAAAAATAGATCCAACTTATTTATGGAACTGGGCTAATCATGTATCAGCAGGATATAAAAATAACTCTTATCATAATAATATGCATGCATTTGATGTTACTTAAGTAAATAATAAACATTTAAAAAATATGTATATAAACATATATATATAATTATAAATATTTATATATATATATATATTATTTATATATAAAATATATATATATATATATATAATATAAAAATAGACTGTTCATTTTTTTTTATAAACTACTGAATTTATTAATATAGCAGATTTAAAACCTCTAGAAATAGGAATTATGTATTTAGCAGCTGCATGTCATGATTATGAACACCCTGGATTTAATAATCCTTTTTTAATCAATTCAAAAGATGAATTGGCTATTAGATATAATGATAAATCTCCTCTTGAAAATCACCATTCTTTTTCAGTTTTTTATTTAATGACAAAGGAAAAGTCAAATGTCTTTGTAAATTTGAATAATGAGGAAAAAAAAAATCTAGAGAAAGAATTATTAATATGATTTTACATACTGATAATGCTCATCATTTTTCTGATTTAGCAATGTTGAAAGGAAGATTATAAGCTTAAGGTATCATTTATATATATATATATATATATATATATATATATATATATATATAATATTTATTTTGTTTAAATTATATAAATATAGAATAATTTTTAAATTTTTATTAATTTAACAAAAATAAAAATTTTAATTTATAAAAATATATATAAATAAAATATAAAATAGATTTTGATACAAAAGATAAAGACAAAGATATTTGTATGAATTTTATTTTACATGCTGCAGATGTATCAAATCCTTTTAAGCCATGGGAAATAAGTATTTTATGGACAGAAAAAGTTTTGAATGAATTTTGGTGTTAAGGAGATTAAGAAAAAGAGTTAAATTTACCTGTAAGTTATTTATGTGATAGATATACTACTAATACTGCTAAATGTTAGATTGGATTTATAGACTTTGTAGTTTTTCCTTTGTATTCTTCTATAAAGTTATTTTTGCCTAAACTAGATATTTCTATTTTAGTATACTAACAAAAAGAAATGGACTGAACTTATTGAATTTTACGATGAGGATTTAAAAAAATAAATCTAGCAATTAGAAAAAGATGAAATAAATAGTAGTAATTATTCAGAATCAAAAAGCTCAAATAGTAAATAAAAATAATGAAAAAATAAATTTTCCTTAAAAAAAATAAAAATATATTTATGTGTAATATTTTATTTTATTCATATTTTTATTATTATGATATATATATATATAAATATATAATTATTTATTTATATTATATATATTAAAAAAATTAAAAATTTATTTAAAGTAAAAAAAATTTTTTAATATAATATAATTATATTTTTTAATTATTTTATTAACTAAATAAATATATTTTATATTTAAATATTTTTGTTTATTTATTATTATAATATAAAAATTAAAATTTTAAAACAATAAATTTTACTATTTATTTTTAAACTATTTTTTTTTTTTATTAAAAATACAATTTAAAAAATATATTATATACTTGTTTTAAGAATTTTATGTTTTAAATTAAAAAATATTCAAAATTATTAAATTTATATTATTACAAAAATAAAAAAAATTAATGAAAGAGAATAATTAACATAAATTTAAATAAAAACATTTTTTTTATTAAATATAAATTATATTTTATATAATATGTATTTCCATATTTTATTTTTATTTAAAACTTTTAATTCACAATCAAAGTTTAAAAACTCATCTTTACTTAAAAGACATTATCAATTCACAATTTTTTATAGTTAGTCTTAATTCAAGTTCTGTTTAATATGAGTATTTTTTAGAAAGGCATTTATCTTCGCAGTCGATAGTAATTTATTAAAAATTTTATTAACTATTCTTGAACTATTTTTTCACTATTAAATTACGTTTTATATATTTTTTAACATAGAAATTCTTTTTAATTTACTTATTATCAACTAAAATAGTTGTATACGATTTAATCTTTCATAGTTACCTTTTTATTTTGTCCATATTCTAAATGAGCCTTTTTATAAAGAAATAAGTAATTATTTTTAGTAAAAGTCTTAATAAAGTAAGAAAGTAATCAAATGAAATATTGATAATCCGATTGTTAATTAATTTAATATTATTTTAATAATTTTAAAAATCAATAAGTTTATAATATTATTAGATTATTTTTTTATTAATATATATAATATTATATAAATTCATTTTAAAATAAAAAATATATAATAGAAAATTTATAATTTAATTAAAATTTTTTATTTTTTTATAAATAATTTGGCTTAAAATAATTGGATATTTATAATTAATTTTAAATAAAATAAAATACATAATATTTTTTATAAACAGAAACAAATTATAATAATAAATTTTTAGTATTAAAGATGCAAATTATAATATCCTTGAAAAGACATCAATTATTATATAAGTAATTTCGGAGTTTCTTATTTTATATGGTTTTAAAATATAAAAGTCATATTTATAATTATATTAAAAGAATCTAAATATAACTTTCACGCATCATATTAAATAGATATATTTAATATTATATAAAATTCATATAAATAATTAATTTTATTTTTATTTATTTAATTTTTTTGATTATAAATATTTCAGAACTTTAATATGAAATTGATTATTTAAAAGTAATTTCATTATATTAAAATTAAAATAAGGCTAAAAGAAAACTTTTCTAGTTTATCTAGTTTATATAATTATTTAAAATTAGAAATAATAATATGATATATGGAATAAATATATCAAATTATCTGTGTTTTAATTTCGTAAATTTTCTTTCACTAACTAAAAAGTAAATTTATTTAGATTGTAAGTTTTTTATTGAATTTCCTTTATTAATATAATACCGAAAAAAATAAAACCTTAATAAATAATATTAATATTTTTTTAAAAAAAAGTATTATCATAATATCAATAATTTATTATTTAAAAAAAGAAAAAAAAAATTAATAAAAATAAAAAAAAAACATGAAAATATAAAAAAATATGACATTAATATTAATAATATTAAGTGTCAGTAATGTATTTACCTTACCTTGCTAATATTTTAATCCTCAAAAAATAAAGTTAATAACTTTTGACGTTTATGCCGCATTAATGGACACCTAAAGATCATTAAAATAATAAGGCCGAGCAATAATTCCCTAAGATATAGATAATCAAAACTATGACAAATTTATAGAATGTTGGGTCAATTAATATTCTAACGCATCTTAAATTGATCCAAGTAGATATTAAAATCCCTTTGAGGATTTTTTAAGAGTCAGTATTAATTATTGTGTTTTAAAGCACAATCTCTTAAAAATAATTAATGATAATATAATTAATAATCTTATTTTAGCTTGGACAAGGTTAGATCCTTGGCCATAAACCCATTAAACTTTAAGAGTTTTAGGCAAAAAATATTAGTTAGGAATAATGTCGAATGGGAGTTAATAGTCTTTGCAATAATTGGCTAGGAATTCTTTACCAGATATTGAATTTTAATATTTCTTTGATTCCACAAGTTCTAAGTATTTTAAGCCTAGACTAGAAATGTATAGATAAGTGGAGTAAACTGGATATTAAATAGATGAAATTTTACATGTGGCTGGGGCTATTATTGATGTTAAAGGAGCAAGGGATTATGGACTTTTTGTGGGACATAATAAAATTATAGATGATTAATTTTATGGTTTTTTGGAATCTGAAAAACCTTGCTTCGAAGTTAAAGATATTTCAGGGGTTGTTGATGTCATGTTAAGTTAAGATCCTAATTTAGTGAAGCTTTATTTTAAAAAAGATAATGGATAGATTATTTAGTGACAAAAAAATAAAAAAAACAAGTTTTTATATTTCATTTATATAAAATATATTAATATTTGCATTACTCATTATTACATAATATTTTTTTTTTTAAAAAAAAAAAATATTTTGTATATATAATTTAAAGTTTAAATTGTAAAGAAAATTAAAAAAATATTTTATTAAAATATTATTTAATTTTTAATTATATAAATTTATTTATTTAATTATAATAATTAATTTTGTGTCTATTTTTTTTTAAAAATGAATAAATATTTAATATATAGTTCACTTTTTAATTAAATATGAAAATATTAATATTTATATTATTAAGAATTTCTATAAATATATTTTTTTTATATATTTAAAATATATTTTACATTACTTTTATATTATATATATATTTATTATTATTTCTAAAAATACATATCTTACAAAATATTTAAATAATATAAGAAATTTTTAAATTTATAATAGAATCTATTTAATTTTTAAAGTGAAAAAATATTTTACTTATAATATTTTTTAAATTTTTTATTTTAACTAAATATTAATAAATAAGATTTAAACATAATTCAAATTTTTTAATAGAATTATTATATAAAACAATAAAAAAACTAATAACATATCCAATTTTAACCATAAATCCAAACAAATTTACATTAATATAAGTTAATTCAAGATGATAGTTCAATATGATATATACTTTAATAGTTTAGGCACTCCTAAAAATGATTTAACCCTAAGACATAATAACGAAACTGATACAAATTGGTAATTAATAAGATAAAGATTAATATATATGCTATTACTATTATTTGTTGTTTTTATCTAATTTACCTTTATTAAATTGATTCCTTTCTAAATTAAAATAATTTTTTTTATTATATAATCTTTAATTGTATTATTTTATATAATATTATTATTTTAATTTATTGTTATTATATCTTTAATTTGTAAATTGATTAAAAGATTAAAAAATAAAAAATTAGTTACTTTTATTTTGTTATTTTTTAGTTTTTTAAATTTTTATAAAATTGCTCATATAAATGAATTAAAACTATATTTTTCTTGTACTAATTTAATACATTTATAATTAAATTTATATTTTTATATAAATTAGTTATAAAAACATATTTTATGAATTTTTATATATTAATTTGCTTTTTTAATTTTAGAACTCGTTTTTAAATTTATTATAGAAACACTAATAATTGTAACAAACTGTTTTATATTATTTTTTATATAATTTACTTATTTTATGTATTTAAGGATATATAAATATTATAATATTTCTTTTTATTTTATAAATAATAAACACTTAATATACTTGATATCTTCATAGATCCATAAACTTTTTCTTTTTTTAAATACTAAGATTAAACTTTTTAATAAAGTTACCTAAAAACCTAAATTAAGGAAAAAATCGAAAAATGACTAAAATACTTAGAGGATTTGGAGTATATATATCGAATGAAAAAATTAAATAATTGTATTGAATTTTATTATAAATTATATAATAACTTTACATATATTATTTTTATATTAAATTTTATATTTTATAAATTGAATATAAAAACTTTATATATAGGAATAAAAGAATTAATTAATTTTTTAATCATTATATAAGTTTTTTATTTTTTGGAATGAATATGTTATATATAAACAGATTAAAAATTATTTATTATAAACTCAAATTTTATTGTAAATATTATCTTTTAATTTATTTTCTTATTTACCCTTTTATAAATTAATTTTTTATTATTATAAAATTTCATCTTCACTTAATTTTTATCCTTGATAATCACTTAAATCGTTAATCGAAAGAAGTATACAACATCTTAATTCTAGCTCAATTTCATTCTATTTAATAAATAAAAGTTTATTAAATTAATTATATAATTTAAAGAAATTAAATAATAAATTACAGCTTTTTCATTAAAAAATTATAAATTAATCTAATTCCAATTACCTACTCCTTTTAATTTTTAAAAAATTAAAAAGTCCAAATTATTATATAATTTTACCACATTAAGATATTCCTTTTATAAGCTGTTATTAATTTTATTCACTCCAATATTATCCTCTTTTACAAAGGAAATACTTATGATTTAATTAACCGTTTTCAAGTTTTATAAACTCATTTGACAAGTCGATTCTCATTTTATTTGTGTATTATTATCTTAAATCGTTAATTTCCATGTTATTAATTGTTAATTTTTAGTTTTATTTATTATTTTTAATACAAATTATATATTTATATTTTTACGCGCAGATTTATTTAAAAAAAAAAAATATATAAATTTTTAATATTTTTAATAATTTTTTTTTTTTTTTTCGCTCCCTCGATAAAATAAGACAAACAAAAATAAATATAAATTAAATTTTTAATTTTTTAATTTTTTTTTTTTTCAATTTATTTCAATATTAAAACAAATCTCTATATTAAGCCAAACTTAACTTTACCATTTTATCATATATTTAAAAATCTTTTTTATAATAATTATATATAATTTTTAATTTTATTTTACTAAATTAATTTTCTTAATCTTATTATAAGAATTCAGTAAATTCATCCATTTAAATAATTTTTTTATCTTTAACTATTCCTCTAATTTCAATACATTATAAATTCTAGCTTAATTAACTAGAATCTAATCCTAATATTATTACTTCATCTTCTAAATAAAATAAAAAATTATAATTTAATTAAAATTAATTATTTATTTTTATATACATTCTTCTCCACAATTTACTGTTGATTATCCATTAAAACTTTGTAATATTTTACCTACAATTGTTACTGGTTTTCCGACAAAAAGATGCAAATGTTCTGGGAGGACTCTAGTAAAATTCTACTTTAAATTATTTTATTCCATTAATATTTATTGCTTAAATTTTTTACTATTTATAAATATAATTTTTTAGTAAATATTAATATAAAAATGATAATAAGTATATATATAAATGTATAAATATATATATATAAATATATTAATAATTAATTTTAAATTTGAAAATATATCTAATATAAATATTAAATTATAATTCTTTTTATAAATTTTATAATTATTATTTTATGTTATTAAATATAGGTAGTTTACTAAATATTTTATTTTATAAATTTACTTTAATTATATATTTAATTTAATTTATTTAATTTAATTTATTAAATTAAATTAAATTAAATTAAATTAAATTGCATTAATATTAAATAGGTATTTAAATTTATATTAAATATCTATTAATTTGAATTAATCTATATATAATTTTTTAATATAAATTTAATTAATTATTTATGTTGATTGATTAGTTTTATCTAATTCATATATTATATATATTTAAAAATAATATGAATATATATTTATAATTAATTATAATATCTTTTTAATTTATGTTTTTTATAATATAAATTATTTAATATATTATTTTTTCATATGCAACAAGATTAAATAAGTTGTATTATATCCCCAAATTAATAAAATACAGGTGGTTTATATTTAGGGAATTTAACTAATGCAAAAGATATTAAATAATTATAAGAATTAAATATAAAAGCAGTTTTGACAATTATTGCTTAAACTTAATTATAATATCCTCCTGAAATAATATAAAAAGTATTTATTTACATTAAATATAAAATATTAATTAATTTTTTATAAAAAAAAAGCATTTAAAATTAGAAGCATTTGATCATCACGAATTTTAATTAAATTAATTTTTTGAATAAACTTATAATTTTATAGATTAAAATTTATAAACAGGAAATGTATTTGTACATTGCTATATGGGTATGAGTAGATCAGCAACTATTGTTATTCTTTATATTATGAAAAAAAATTAATTTACTTTCAAATAAGCATTTAATTTTGTTAATAAAAAAAGAAAAATTTTTCCTAATTAAGGGTTTATTTAATAACTTGAAGGATATTATTAAAAAAATATAGTTCAAAAGCTATGAATAGTTAATTTTTTCATAAAAATAAATATTTAAAATTAACTAAATAATTTAAATAAAATAATTAAATTTTAGTTTTATTTCAAAAAGAAAAATTAAAAAATTTATATATATATAAATATAAAAAAAATTATAAATATTTATATATTAGAGATTATGTACATTATCTTTATAAATAAAATAGCTTTATTTTTATATACAATAATTAATCTGTTTTTTATTTTTATCTTTTGTTATATTTTATATATATTAATTATAAAAAAAAAAAAAAAATATTTTTATTTATTAAACAAATAAAAAATGGATTCTGATACAAGATCGGTAGTTGAGAAAATTCCTTTATTAAAAATTAACACAGGCCCAAGGTAAAAAAAACACATAAAAGTTTAAAAAATTAAATATTTATAAAAAGAAATCCGAATTGGATTGACAGATTAAAAGAAGAATATATAGCCTTAATAAAATATATAGAAATTAATAAATCTTAAGATAATGATTGGTTTAAAGTTGAATCAGATAAAGAAGGAAAAAAGTTAAATCAAAATAAAATAATAAAATAGTTTAATTGATTTAAAAAAAAAAAAAAAGATGGAAAGGCAGATGTTGGTATATTCATAATTTAGTTAGATATGAATTTGACTTATAATTTGAAGTAAAATAAAAAATATTAAAAATAATAAATAAATAATTATTAGATACCAGCAACTTATCCTTCTTCTCCTATTGAATTAGAATTACCTGAACTTGATGGAAAAACACATAAAATGTATAGGTAATCAAAATTAATTAAAAAAAAATTTATAAATTTAAAAATTTAATATAATAAAAAGAGGAGGAAAAATATGTTTAGATATACATTTCTCACCTTTATGGTCTAAAAACTGTCCCAAATTCGGAATAGCTCATGCCTTAGCATTAGGAGTAATATATAGAAAGTTATTTAAAAAAAATGTAATTATTTTAAAAATATATATAGCTTGGACCATGGTTAGCAGCTGAAATACCAATTTTAATTGAATAAGGAGTTATTTAAAAAAATTGATTTTTAATAATTAAAAAATAATAATAATATATGAATTTTATTTTAAATTAACAATTATATGTAAAATAATTTTTTTTTATTTTTTATTAAAAAAAAGAAGTATCTTTTTTTTCATTCTTAAATATATTCATTTTCTAAACTTTCTTAGTGTTAACTATCCTCATTATTAGATTATTAAATTAAAATTATTCTTCCTTAATCTAATATGATTAATTTTTTTTTCTTATTTATGATTTTCGTTCTACAATATAGACAACTATTTACAGAATATTTAAAACATTTTTTAAACATATAATATGAAAAATATGCCCACATTACAAAGTAATAATCCTATTATTACTTTAATCTGAATTTTTATTATAAAATTCGAAACAAACGGCACATTCTTTTTCATTATGCATACTTTTTATAGATTAGGATTCTATACTAAAAACTGTTTATTAAATATATTATTAAAAGAGCTCTTCTATTTCATTATATAATACCTAACTATTTAAACGATTATTTAACTAATTTTAGGAATAATTAATTTAGTTAATTGAATTGTTATTTTAATAAAATTAATTATTTAAATTTGATTATAAATTATGAAATAATTAATTATTATTGTAATTTAAATTTTAATTTAATGATATATTTTACAAAAAAATATTACTAAGAAAAAAATTACTATTATTTAAATTATTAAAAAAAAAATATTATTATTATTATTATTATTATTATTATTAATATTATTAATATTATTATTATTATATTTTTAATTATTACTACTAATAAGATTTTCCATATTACTTCTTTAATTTTTTTTATCTGATTAAATTTGACTTATATATATATTATTGCCTTGAATTTAATTTTTTATTAATATTAATTAATTTTTTTATAAAGGTGAAATACATATAAATAATTAAAAATTATTGAAAAGCCGTTTATAATTATATTTTAAATCTTATTTTTTTCATTAATTTATAGCATTTTTATAATCCAACAATCATCAATTTTTTAAAAATATTTTAAAAATTTTAAAGTTTATACTATAATTAACAATGGACCATATAATAATCCTGTTAAAAATAAAAGTCTTTTTAAATATATTAATTTCTTATTTTCATTTATTTTAATTTTACTTAACGTTTGTATATATTCTAATACTATTCCTAAATTAATTATAATTACTATTTAAAAACTTATAAATATTCCAAAACCAAAAAAAAATTAAACTAGAATATTTAAAGCAATATATATCAAATTTAATAGTATAATTTTCCACATTTATTTTTATAAGATTTATATATTAACTTACTTATAATCTTAATTTATTAATTTAAATATTTAAAATTTAATTTTTTATTTAATATATATTTTTTTAATAAAAATATTTAACAAAATAAATGTTATTAAATTATTTTGATTTAAAAGTGTAATTTTTTTAAAAAAATATTAAATTGTAAAAAATGATTTTTTTTTAAATATAAACTAAAGTATCTTATAAAATTAATAACTAAGTATTTTTTATAATGAGTTTTTAATAAAATATGAATTTTATATAAAAATATATAAACAAATTAACATATTGCATGGTTTTTTTTTGACTTTATATGTTATTTTTTTTTATAAAATGAACCATAAACTATTTTTTTCCTTTTATTTATTTTAAATATACAAAAAAATACAGAAAAAATAAAAAAATATAATGTTAAAAGTAATTACAATAAAAATGATTAGACATGAATGTTTATTTATATGTTTTGTTTTGTTTTTCAATTATTTTAAATATTTATTCTTAAAATAAATCAATAATAAATATTTACTTTTTATATATATATTTATTATATTCAATATAATTATATATGGGAAAGATTTTAACTTCTTTTATATTTCTATTAATTCTCGTTTCTTTTTTATCCATAGTTTTAATATTCTAAAAGCAATAATATCCATTCTAAACTAATTTAAAGGAATTATAAACTCTAAATTAATTTTCAAGGAAAGTATTAGATTTAAATTATTACATACATTCATATTTATTATTTAAAAAGTAAATAAAATATATACAATTTTAATAAAAACATAAATAAAAAGTTATTATAACTCTTTAAATATAAATACTTAGGAAGATGCTTTACAAAAAATATATTCAGAATATATGAATGATGTAAAAAATCTATAATGATAAATATATAAATAATATATATACATATTAATAAATAGATAAATGAACAATAAAAAATAATAGCAAATGAATTACAAAACCAAAATAATATGAATTTTAAGTTAAATGAAATCGAGTATTAATTTTAAATTTAAGGAAAAGATTTAATTTTAAATGATGCCCTTTAAGAATTATTATAATATAAATAAATAACTTTTGAAAATTAAAAAGATATAAACTATAATATACAACTTTCAAATAATATAAATAGATAATTTACATAACTAGAGGATACTTTTTTAATTAAAAACTTGAATAAATGAACAAAGACTCTTTATTTACTTTTATTTAAGTTTTTTTGGATTAACAATATTCTTTAGTGTAATATTTTAATGTTTTTTTATTCCACATACATACGATGAATTTATAGAAAGAAATAAAAAATCAAGAAAAAAACAATCCAGAATGAGCCAAAATACATATACGACACATTTAGTTCTTCATTTTATATGCTTTGTGTTAATTTTGGGTATTTTATACATTTTATATGATTAGATTTCAATTTTTTATGGTTTTTTATTAAATACAAGTTTTAAACTGGCTAAAACATAAAATACAATTTATCAAAATTATAGATAATTATAAATTTAAAGCTTATATAAATTAAATAACCAAGATAATTATTTTGATGAAAAAAAAAATTAATCATTTAAAGATTATAAATAAATGCTTATTACTATAAATGAAAAAAATAACAGATTTCAAAATTTATGGCATAAATATTTATATGAAACTAATATTTGTTCCCTTGAAATAATAAAAAATGATGTAAAATCTATTTAAGTATGTACTGGAAGTGAATAAAAATATAAATTAAATATTTAAACTGGACTGCCTATTATTGGGTAAGATTTAGAAAAAATTTTGACCTAATAAGATAAAGGAGTTTAATAAATTTTAAATATTTATAAGTAATTTGAAATTATAGATAATATTTATTATAAACTTTTTAATGATTTATTTGATGGCTTTTTTAATTAAAATACTTAATTAATTTTTAACCAAAATTAATTAAATATAAAATATGCAGAGTATTTTGCAATATGTGTTGTTTTATTTGCTATATTTTGGAGTGTTTTTATTAAAGATGATTCAGAAGAAGCTAAACAAGCTAAAAAATTCGAAATTATTAATTAAATATGAACAAAAAATATAAATAAAGATATATATATATATATATATATATATATATATATATATATATATATATATATATATATATAATAAATATGTTATAATTATATTAAATAATTATTACATATATTAATTTTTATTATATACTATATATAAAAAATATTGATGTTTTTTTTTATATACAAAATATCTTATATGAAAAAGAAAATATTCAATACAAAACAATATTTTTTAAAAGAAAAATAAAATATTTTATAGACACAATATTCTAAATTTCTTTTCTAATTAAAATTTTGTTAATTAAATTATTCAAAAAAATAAAATAAAATAAATTAAAATAAAAAATTTAAAATAAAAAAATAAAATACTAAAATAAATTAAAATTCGCATTCTGAAATTCCCAAATATACTCATAAATAAAATTTGATTTTAAGAAACTTAGTCCTATATTAATAACTAGAATGAACTTCTATGTTAGCAATAAATAAAAAATTAAATATATATTTTAAAACTAATATATATATATATTAGGAAAAAAAGAAATCTATGATTAATAATCAAATCAGAAAATTCCAAATGAATTATTATTTTTTTATATTGTCTATTTTAATTTTTCTCTCAACTTTCTTTTTTTGTTTATTGATTTTTTTAGAAAAAATAAACAATATATAAAAAACAATATCAAAAAATAATATTAATAACAGATAAAAAGCGTTCTTAAATAAATTAATATTATAAAAAGTTATTTATTTTTTTTATATAAATTTTGAATAAAAATATAATTATTTTTTTAGCTTTCTAATTTAAAACTTTAATGGAAGATAAAATAACTTGTTTTATAATATAATAAAAATTAATATAGAACTATTAAAACTATATATTATAAAAATATAATTTATTTTGAATATTTATTAAGACTAATTTATTAAGATTTTTTATTTAATTAGATTTTCTAATAATATTTTTAAAATATACATTTAAATAAATTTAAAAAAAATCACATCATTTTTACATTTTTTTCAAATTTAGAAAGTTTTAAGAGTATATAAAAATACAAATAAGAACCTTATAAATCAACTATTTTCATTAATCTGATAATTGAAATGAGTAAAAAATTATATGTAGAAATTAAAATTATAGCTAAATTTATATACTGTTTAAAAATAAATGTGATTTATTTTATTTGGGTGATATAAAATTCAGATATAAATAATATTATAGGAATACTCTATTATATAAAGAAAATGCACTTTAATTTTATTTTCTTTTAAGTATAAAAAAAAACATACATTGCAATTATATATATACTGATTACTTTTTTAATTTTAAATGAAAAATAAATCTAATATTTAAAAAAATAAAATTAAATATATAATATAAATATATTTTTGAGATATTTTTTTTTTTTTTGGAAATATTTTTCTACTTTATATTTTTTGTTTTGTTTAAAAGTCAATATTTATAAAAAAATTAATTATTTTTTTTTAATAAAATTTAAAAAAAAAAAAAAAATTATTAAATAAAAATAATTTTAATTCAAAATATATTTAATTCATATATATTTATATATATTAACATTATCTTCAAATGAAAAGTATAAAAACTACATAATAAAATCAAAAAGATTTCTTTAATGAAGATATAAATTAACAAT